ATAATTAATATTGATATAATGTGAGGACTTTGAGTCCTGAATATCTCGGTATAGTTAACTGAAGAAGTTATGTTTAACCATGGGTCTTTGGATTACTTTGCAGGTTCGGTTAACCAAGGGACAAGACACGTTCTGGTGCCACGTTCTAAAGATGCCAAACATTGATCACAAACACCACGTCGTGAAGGTGAGCTAGCTTGCATGTACCAAGAGTAACCTACTTACTTCGTACCTTACGCATCTAAACTTGATTAAGCCCTCTAGGAATAGATTCCCAAGACGCAGGCATCTCAGTTTCCACAGAACTCATGTTTCACGAGTGTCACATTTACATCTGCTCCTTGACTAAAAATTTATATATAAGAACATAATTATATAATTATAAAAAATTGTTTTTTTATCACGTGCCACTGAGTCTACAATTTTTTAATGAATCAGAATGTAATTATAATATAATATAAATCCGATTACCTTGCATTTTCTTAACGAACGAGGACAGGCTGTTCTATTCGAAAATCTATCGTTCATTGGGATAAGCCTCGTCAATAGGCGAACACGTGGTTGAAATTCTTCGCACCTCTCGTCGATCGCAGCTTCAAAGACGGTCGTCGGCGCGTTAAAAGGATCTCTGATTTATCAAAAGACAGCCAGCTTTAGCGCATGCCATGAATTAACGATTCTTACCAGTCACCCTGTACACTCCACTTCACAAGTCCAATTCACTATACCTAATATCATTAAAATCTCATTTTAAATCATTTAATAATAATTATATAAAAAATTCTGCAAAAATTATTTCAAAAAACATAATTTTTTAAATTGACATATCAGAATTTTCATTTTGCTTCAAAATTCACTTGTAATAATTTTGAGTGTGGGTGTAAATGTCTCGCATGTAACACGTGTTGGCCGGTTTGATTTTTCAGTACGAGCCGGTAATACAGCCCGGAAGTCAGGATTACCTGCATCACATGACTCTGTTCGAGTGTCGCGGGGATCAGGCGCAATTGGAATCCGCGGCGAAGACGTCCGGCCGAGTCTGTTATCAGCCGAATCAGCCGTCTCTTCCGTGCAACACAATCGCAGCTATCTGGGGCCTCGGCTCAGAGGTACGTCCTACGTGACACATTTAAATGGAAATGAAGAATATTAAATAAACTTTGCCACCGTGCGGGCAGGAAATTCATTCCCTAGTCAAGCGGAAAATTCAATTCACTGTTCAACCGAGAGATTTAATTAAATTCAATAAGAAACACTGTTATAATATCATTTGCACTGGGAAATTGTTTATTAAACGTACTCCGTGTCCATCGGACTCGTTTTAAAACAAATTCTCATAATTAATTAAATACGTTACGAAAATATTTAAACTGCAACGTTTTAATTTATTTATATTTACATTAAAAAAAAAACTTACAAAAATTGCAACGTTGCTATTTTATTATTAAGCTATAGTAATTATTATTAAGCTATGGTAAATAAAAAAATTGCAACAGTACGTGTGATAAATCGTCGTGGTTATTTGCGTTCGTACGATCAATCTCATCTCCAGGTATTCATATTCCTCGTGAAGAAACGAGTTTGTGGGACCCACATTGGTATGCATTACGCGGTGCCTAAAATTACCGCAGCACCCTCGATCCCTTTCGCTTGTCCCACAATCACTTCAGATTAACATTCACTGGACACTGATTTACCCACACGTAATTACCCAGCCCGGTTCAAATCTCGATATCATCTCAAATCTGATTTATCCCTAGGCTTACTCCATTTTAAACAATACACAGAGTTTCCAACAAAAACAAAAACAACAAAAACAAAAACAACATAAACAAAAACAACACAAACAAAAACAACAAAAACAAAAACAACAAGAACAACACAAACAAAAACAACAAAAACAAAAACAACAGAAACAACACAAACAAAAACAACAAAAACAAAAACAAAAACAACATAAACAAAAACAAAAACAAAAACAAAAACAACAAAAACAACACAAACAGCAACAGCAATAATAATAATAGTAATGATAAATATTTCTGATTGAC